AGAATACTTGTATCTCATTTTATGACCTCCCCCWGCATGAAATAAACTTAATACAAATAAATACTTGAGATTTCTGTATTGCTCTGTGTWTTCACAGGTCTATCAGGGCCCTAATTGTTAAAAGAAGGTGATGATCTTTCACAACAGTTTTTTACACCATCTTTGAAAGAGTCCCAGCAAACTTCACAGATCTGAACTGATTAAAACTGTCAACAAACATGCCTCTTCAGTTTTGGTTCAAAAACCAAATCGGATTCTGATTTCCGGATATAAATAATAAGCTGATTCYATAATTGTGAAGCATAAATATGACAGGCTCCAGCCACCAAACGTTTTCAATTTTCATTCTGGACAAGCTAATAAATCAGGCACTGACCTCCAAGTGTAACTGGAAACATAAAATGAAAGGCAGTTGTTCGGATATTGTGGAGTAATACGAAGAACTGGATAGGTAAACACAAATACTTTAAAAGTATCAGTATAAAATATTGCTGCTAACTGGTGAAAGGTTTTCAGCTCCAGGGTGTTTTATTCCAAGAGTTCCCCAGACTTCTTTTTGCTTTACAGTAAACCAGCTGTGCTTATGCAGTCTAGCACTGTCAGGAAATGAACTGAAGCTGTTTGCAGGGTACCAGTTGTGAGATTGCTCTTAAAACAGCACAGAGATTCGWGATCTCAACACCACTGATTGTGTCTGTCCTGAGTGGTCCAAACTCCAGCTAGAGACCTATTTACAGTGTAAATATACAAATTGCAGGGTGGTCCTTCATGGATGGCATCTTCTGTGATCTTCACACACCCTATGTCAGAAATAGGTTTTTAATCCATTATTTAAGAATTCCTTTCCAATCTTAGCTGAGGCAAGCAGAGTATCTTCATCTCAAATTCCCTTGTGGTCATTCCTGTATCTCAGGCACAGAATTCACCCCTGTTTTTCCATTGTTCACTGACAATGCAAAAAGCCCTGCTCTCTAACTTACTTCATTTTCCCTTTACAGTTCTCCAAAGGGAAGAAGGAGTTTCTTGCCAAACACTGCTGTCAGTCTGACATAACTGTGGGCTTGATCACATGAAAACTGAAAGTGTTTCTCTTTTCAATTGATTAAATGATTGAGTACAGACTTCTTTAATAGAGCAGTCAGCATAACTCACCCATAAACTCAGCATGGAGCCCTGTGTTCACCATGTTCTAAATTGCTGACAAACAGTTTATGGTTTGTTCACATTTGGCAATCTCTGTACAGGAACAAGGCCAGTCTTCAGCTGAAATAAAAATAGGTGCTTTAACCAGAACTTGGAAACAACTAGTAGGAAGAGAGGTTGTACAAATACAGATAAAAATGTTCAGCTTTTTGTTTCCCACTTTACCAGCTTTAGTTTTTTACATCATCATAACTGTCCTCTCTGGTCACATGTCCATCTGTAAATAATGGAATGTAACCAATTTACATTTTGCACTGTGTAATTAGATACGATTCCTCATATGTCCAGTATATGCTGGATGTTAGTGAAATAAAATTGCACCTAAAGGAGCAAGGAAGGTGAACTTGAAATACATCTTGACTCTATTATCTTACTCTCATAAATCTTGTGGCAGGTGACACAGACCTTGGGGAGTTTGGTTGCTTTTTTTTTTTCTTGTCGCTTTTCCTTTCCGCAATGTTTTGAAAGATGAAAATAGTTTTTTGTTGTATTTTTTAAAAGTGTTTTGTTTTGACTTTCTACAAACATCTACTATCAGGAAAAAAAGTCACACCCGGTAATTTAAAATATTTGGATAGATAAATAGTTCMGTTTCTGTAACACTATCACAGTGTTCCACTTCTGTAATTCTGTCACAGCTGGGCACATGGAACCACTGACTCAAAGTAGTTCATGGAACTGTAATCCAAATGGCAACAAGCAGCAAAAATAGAGCRCAGAAAAAAAAACTAGTAGTAACATGGGTGAGATACATATACAGGTTTTGGTATAAACTGCATGGTTTTGCTTTATAATGTAAGAAAGACCCATCTGAGAATCCATAGGTGGTATCAGAGTCTTCAGTGGCAGTTGGTTTATTTGTTGGTTAAAATTATGATGCTTTAGCAAAGCCATATGGAGATTAAAGATGAGAATGGCAGAAGTGTCACAGATAAGAATTAAGCAGCTTCTTTGTATACTTGACATACCTTAAAAAGTCCAAATACTCTTGACCTCATTTCATCTGACCTGTCAAAAGTACTGAAAACCAGCATGGTCTACAACTCCCCAAGAATAATGTTTCTGCAAAGACTTGTCTCCACTGGAGTACAATATAAATTCAGGGCAGGATAGCTGATTTTATTTCTGTTAGTTTGTTTAAAGCAATCACAGTGRAGATTATTTAAACACTGCCATTCAGTTTCTGTGGCCACATGACCTGGATTAAGAAGAATTATCTCCCCAGAACATGATTGGCACTGCATGTATGGAGCTATCAGGTGACACAAGGAGCTCAGAGGCTGGATGAAGTACTTCACCCACACATTTACAGATGTCTCAAGGATAAAGATGACACATGGGGAAGTCAGGAGCCAACACACGACAAGGCAAGGTCTTCARTATTTCTTCTCTCCTCTTTYCTGCCTTTAAATCCAGAGAATCTGTGTTTTSCTRSCAWAACTGCCCTCTCAGCATGTAGATGYATAYCAGAAAGCTGTGGATTTCTAAGGATAAGTGGTCTAAAATATCCATATTTTCCTACCTTCTGATTTACTTTTGATGTAAAATCAGTTGTAGAATAGAAAGTTTTCTGTGTTGGAAATATACAACTGAACATGTAAAAGGCTGCAATATATCAAGAAGCTGAATGGTACAGGAATATTTGCAAAATGCTGCTTCTTTCAGAAGAACCTGAAATGTGCCAGAGTGCCAAATCACAAGTGTTAATTAACCTAATTTTGCTATTTTTTTTGTAGCAAACTGGGCCCTATTCATACAATTTAGTGCAACTGGTCCATCCATTTGCAAAGAAACCACTTTCTGTACTGTAATCCCTGATTTGGGAATATACAGTTCCTTTGCTTTTTAAAACCTTTGCTCCATCTACTCCTCACATATGCTAATAAAACACTTCCCAATWCAGAAATACATTCTTTGCTTCTGACACAAAGTATGAGAAGAAAAGCTCCATAACTGACAATTTTTCTTACATCATTTATTTTTAAAGCATTTTATAGATGCTAATAAAGTGTTATGGGTGTCATCCAAATTTCAGTGACATAAGTGAAAAAACTCCCACCATTTCAGTGACTTCAGTGAGCTCTGGATTTTACATGAGTAACATTCATTGCATAAATCTGGATCGATATCATTCAGACAGGATTCCTGGATTTCAAACTTTACTTTTTTCCATTAATTTTTCTTTTACCTTGTTTCCATTTCATGTAGAATTTTGACATCTTCAGTTTCTGATCCAAATCAGGATGAAGTCAAAAAGCCCTGATAATTTTATGATACTGGTAATTTTGTCAGTCTGATGTAAAGCACTACCACACATCAAGAAACCAAGGTCATCCAAGATGCAGACACTGGAGAGATTGAAATTATGACTCATTAAATAAATTACTACATTAAAATATAGAAAATRCAAACACATCAACACTTGATTTATTTACATAAATTTAAATTTGTTTATTTTGTTAATCCCTGACTGAACAGTTAATAGAGATTCAAAAAAAGGTCAAACCCCACAAATGATGAAAATACTCTAGATTAATTTTGRTGTTAACCAGTTTTATTTAAGGGGAATAACTGCTTGCTAAACAGTTTTCAAATTGTTTTGATGGTAAAAAGTATTCTAACAAACATTGTGCCTCATTTGCAGATTCTTCTGGCTTGTTAAACATTGTGTGATGCATGTAAATGGCAAAATTGCACATGAGTTGAAGAGCATTTCTACCCTTCTTCATTTGCTTTGCAAACGAGCATTCCCAAGCACTCAGCACTCAGCTCTTGGCRGCTGTCTGTTCAGTTGTGCCTCACTTGGAAAAAGGCTTTCCCTTTCATCTAACAACTGAAGCACAACAAGGACACAAATCACATAAGGGAGGTTTTATTCAGAGTTTGTATTTTTTCTGCTTCATACAGATTTTGATGTGTATGAAACTATTTTTGATAGTGTTTCTAGTCTTCTAAAATCTTCACCAGTTTTTACATATTKAGCTCTTTGTTCCAGGTGACCTTCTGCTTTGTGGGCACTAAATCATCAGGTACCTCTTTATTTATTAGGAGTCAGTATTCCTAGAGAGGAAGGAAGCTGAAGGGTATAGGATGAAGAAGGAAGGGCTCACCTTTCCTGCCAGCCAGGTGCCATCCAGAGGCTCTCTCCCTACCCATCCCCAAGATGAAAAATCTTATGGGTTGAGATAAATACAGCAAGCACTTCCCAGTTATTAACAAGGGACAAAACAGACAGAAAATTAATTTATTGCAGGAGACAGATAAAAAATAAAACAACATCATTCCCCTTTTTTTTCTCCCGTCAGGTTCAGCTTCTGTCCTTCAGTCCCRATTCCTCCATATCCTTCCCCTCACCCCTTGGGGTGGTGAAAGATATGGGGAGTAGGGAGTTATGGGATCATTCCAGAAGATTTCTTTCTGCATCTCCTTCCTCCTCATGCTTTTGCCCAGCAGCTCCTCTCCACAGGCTGTAGCCCTGCAGGAAAAACCTGCAGCAGCATGGCATCTTCCACGATCTTCAGCGTGGGTGTCTGCTCTTGCTTTCTATCAGCTGCAGGGATTATCTGCTCCACTGGGTTCTCTTTTGCAGTCTTCAGAAGAATATCTTCTTTGTCACCTAAAGCACCTCCTCCTTCCCCTCCTCCTCCTCCTCCTCCTCCTCCTCCTTCTCTGATATTGATCGTTCATTAATTTATAGGAAAGTGAGAAAATCCAGTTGAAAATCCCATAAAAATAAAAAATTCTGGTGAGAGGGACAGCATGAATTGATGCTCTGCTCACCTGATTTTCCTAATCTATCTCCACAGGAAAAAAAGAGAGCCACATGATATGATGCTGGATGTCTCTGACTCTCTTCAAGCAGGAACACACAGAACTGATTTCTACAGACTCCTCTTAACCTTCTGTAGCCCTTAAAGCATCCAGGTAAGAACATGTTGCTTTCCTGAACAGAGTTCAAGACTGTGCCACAGCCATGACAAGAGGTTGTTGTGTATCCTCTTACCTGATTTCAGGTTCTTGTTCAGGCATTTCTTTTCTCCTTTCACACTTTCTCCTGCTTCATCTCTTCTCAGCTCTTCCTTCTCCAGGAGGCTTTTCTCATCTCTTCACTTTACTGCCTGATCCAGCTATTTCCTTGTGTTGTCCTAGTATGTGCTGGCTCCTTCACAGGCATTWCTCTTCTCTTGCTCTTATTTGACTGTTTTCTGGCAAGCCTTTTCTCTTTTCTAGCTCTTATCACTGTGCTTGCCAGCCCCCACTCACCTGCTGGACTTGGCAGTGGCATTGGCAGCAGAGATGAAAAACAGGCATCAGACATTCTTACCCCTATATGGCATCCCTGGAGTGATGGTCAGTATGTTTATCCCACCCTTGCTCTGGACTGGTCAGCATGTGTGTTTACCCTGGCCACTTGGTCTAAAAACAAACCAAACCCCAGGGCACTGTAAATTAGATTAATACAATAGGAGTGTTTCTGACCTTGTTTATGTCTGTTGTACCAGGCTGACGTAAGTGTGGTCCCTCCTGGTTTACCTGGTTGTTTGGGCAGTTTGAGCAAATTGCTGTCAAAATGAACAGTCATGGAAGAGTAAGGTGATTTTTGCCAACTGCATTATTACACCAGCATAACACCTCTGAAATCAGTGGCATTGTGCTAACATAAAACTGCAATAAACTCCTGAGAATTAAATCCTGTTTTCTTGCCTCTGAGGATTTTCAGAGGCTGCCTGATATGGCATGAGTCAAAAATATTTTGTTATTCACTGCTTTTTCTAATTATCAGATTTGTCTCCAGTCCATTTTGTGGTGTTGGCCAGGCACTCGATCTGAGTCAAATTTTCCATACAATCCACACTGCTTTATGTTTCAGTGTTGCTTTTTTTTTTTTTTCCCTTTTGCCCTAAAACCAGAACAGAAGAGCTGGCTAAGCATGTACAAACCTGCCTGAAGAAAAGACTTGTTTTTCCTTTTCCCTCACCCCTTCTTTTCTGTTTAATGTTAGTACAAAGATGAAACACAGATGAAGTAGCACAGTGGTTAGAATTATGATTAGCAGATTCTCAATCTGTTCACTTGCCACTAGACCACTTTATCTACACAAGTTATCCCYACAAAAGAAGCCCATCTCTTGGAGATAACATTAATTTTTGTAAGGAGCTATTTTATAATAAGGAGCTGACACAGTTATGAGAACACTTCTTCCAGCATTCCTTTACTGCTGGGGTTAGTCCATCGAGAGTTATWTAGGGTTGAAAACCACCTCTAGTTGCATAAAACAACATGAGAAACACAAAAAAAWTTGAATGGAACAAATCCTCTCATTCCTCATCGCTGAGGGGTCTCATCACTTGCTTTTATTCTTCCCATTATGTACATGATGCTGGTATTGTTATCCCTACCCCCAGCTGGAGGAAGGGTGAGATTTAGGTGAAATCACTAACCTAAATCTCAACAGCTCTCACTGCTGAGATTTAGGTGAAATTTCATGTGCAAGATCCTTGCTGTCAGTTTTATGCACTACAATCTGAACTTGGGACAGACAATTTGGTGGAAGGAAGGGTTCATTTTGTCTGGGTAACACGATAGTTTCACTCAATTTTCTGAGCATGGGGTAGATCTCAGAGGCATCGTTGTAAATACTGATTCAGACAAACCTATTTCCTGCTGAAGAGTGCAGCCACAGTGGCTCCCAGGCCTGTTATGTTGACTTGCTAAGTGAAAATATGCATAAAAACCTACTTTGGTTTACAAGTTATGGCTGAAGGAGCTCCACAGATGATAGTGTAGCTTTTGGACAAAAAGAAAATAGTTTCATGTTTATATATTACACTAAAAAATTTCAGCCTTGTTGGCTTTGCTAGAAAATTCCCACTGGCATTGATTTTGGACATCAGAGACTATCAGAAGCCTGGCTTGAAAACTCCTGTTCTAAACTAGCTTTTCCTGAAATTTCCAGTTCACCAGGAATAAAAAAAAAAAGACAAGAGCTTCTGTTGCACTTCAGTTACTCTTATTTTTCTGTGTGTGTCTTTAGGTGTGTGCTGCCGTTGTCTTGTCCAGGGTCAAAGACATCCAAACAAAACAAATGTTTCTGAAGCTGAAAAAACCATTAAGCTTCTGGTCCAGGTGGAACCTTTTTTTTTTTTTCACAACACCAAATAGATATGAGTGTTACATCCGGCCTTGAATCTCTTGTTTTAACTTTACACTTTTGAACTAATATCTTTTTCTTACTCTGACTGATGTCAACTGAAGGAAAGTTCCAAGAAAAACGCCCTGTACAGTGCTATTTTAGGGCTTAGGCCATTCTTTCTCTCTTCTCTTCATCTTTCCATTTTCTTGATGCAATCCTCAGTCTGGCCTTGGGCTCACCTCACAGACATTAAAAATCAAAACCAAAACCAAGTAAAACCACAGGGACCCCTCAAACCTCAAAATTTTGCTTTCAGGATAGGCTCAGAAGCTAGTGATTAGCTTCCTCCAAAACAGCTTTTCTGATTCCCAAGTTTGGAAAATTGGGATCATCGAAAGGCCTGGTGTCAGATACGTATCTTTTCCTTTTTTTTTCATTAAGCCTATAACTGAATCTGGCAATGAAGAAGTCTAGAAAAGAAACAGTGCGGAGGGAGGAAGTAGCTCTGTAAGGCTTGGCAAATACTTTCAAAGAATAACTGTTTTTCCAAGTTTGATCACTCCAGACACAAGCAAACACAAATTGATATATTACCTTATCTAGGATTTTTCTGATGACCAGGAGGGGTGCTTATGGGGTACTACCCTGCCATCCTGACTCAGTTCTTTTTGCAGCAATTAATCTTCCGTGTTTGATTTTACAGTGCCTTACACTTGGCCTCACCACAGTGCCAAAAGGTCAGTCTGCTTGTCCAAGGTCACCAAATGACTCAGTAGATTAAGTGAAAACTGAACTCAGAGGACCACCCTGCCTTTTAGCTTTTGTTTTTGGGACTCAATCTCCACAGCTTCTCTGCTATTTCATACATTCCATTAATCCCGCTGGCTAGCAGCCACGAAGATACAGCAGAAAGATTGAATACATGTAAATGTGCATGGTGATATACAACTTCAAGCTGATGGAAAATACATTCGACAAGCATGGTTAAGTTCCTCTGCATTAAAAACACCCTTTAGGCCCATGGCTCAAAAACAAAAGAACATGAGAATACTATTTGTGGCTTTCCCTGCATTTATTAAGATGAATAAGATGAACCTTTCATCTTATTTCGCTCTTGCACTAACCACACATATTCAAAATCCCATGTTTTTGCATCGAACTTCTCAACTTACTCCTATCTGAAAATGAAATTAGTAGCTGGACTGCTATGACTACTCTCCTGTTGATGTCCTCTGGATGCAGAATAAATTCCAAGTTTCAGGATAAGATACTTGTTTACAGTTTTCCCACCTGTAAAAACTGAGAGCTGGAGATATGAGGAAGTTCTCAGTCCATCGGCAGAGCAAGTGAGGCTGACTTCCATGKGAGAACTTGTTCCCCAGCAATGATGAAAATCTTGTAAAAGTGAGAAATTGCCTCATTTGAAAGCACTCTGAAGAGATTAGGTCTGGAAATGAAAGAGTCAATGAGCAGCTCCTGGTTMTTGCATTTCATTAAGGAGCCACAGTAGGACCTGACTTTTGTCAGGTGCATAAAGCCCCTTGCTGCTGTAGGACCAGCTGTAAGGATGTCCCGGAGCATTGCAAGGTGGACAACCAGCAAGAAAAGGAGCTTGTTATCATTTCCTTCTTTCAGATAGCATCCTTTGACTTCTGATTTCAAGCACTAAGTGCCTCCCTGACCCATCAGTTCACATAAATTTAAAATAGTCATTTGGATTAAAGAAACCTGTCAGCTGTCTGAGGTTCTCTGTGTGTCGCTTCCCACATTCCTCTGCAAAACCAAACCTAATATCATTGGCAAGAAGCCTCTTCTCTTCACAACTTTGATGAGAGTCTCCCAAGATTGGGTTTTCTACTGTCATTACCAGTATTTTAAGCCTTTTTTTGGGTTCTGTGCGAGTTCCTGGAAAAGGTAACGGTGAGGTCAGATGTTTTCTGAGACAGGAGACAGTTTGGTGTTTTGTTTCCTTCTGTAAGAAATATATCAGTCAGTGGTGGTAATTGGCTTTTAGTGAGTTTTTCTTACCTCAGGGTGTCCTTGCTGCATGGCAAGAGGGSAAGGAAAACAGCACAAAAAGCACTTCAAACATTTTGAAGGGAATGAAGTGGTTGCCTGTTAGCCAGAAAAGGGAGCCTCTATGTGTTGCATGACCAGTGTATGTCTATCAAAGTGAATAGATAAGTTGCTACAGGACAGTGATCAGGATTGTAATCATAGTTCCYGATTTCCATAGTACTCTTCAAACGTCTGTAAATTGTTTAAATTATGTTATCTATGCTTTTTTGGAAATCCCATTGCTTCCCACATSTCCATGAGGAAATGTTGCCATTTTCTCCTCAATGAAAATCTCTTCATTTTCTCCCCAGCCTCATTGGTCAGTCAGATGTGCCTGGGGGGCCACAGGAACATCTCCTAGGAGGAACAGTCTTGCATGAAGCTCTGCTGGGAAGTTGTGTGATTTTCCTCACTGAGGGATCAAAACACATGTGCAGAAGTGCTGCAGGAACATGGTGTGCAGTGAAAGCTTTCCTGTCAAAAGTGCACGGTGACTTGAAGGATTTACCAGACCACATTTCTCCCTCTCTTGCAGGAGTCAGGAAGCACAGCGCTGTCCCATGTAATGTCAGCCAGTTAAAGGGGGAAAATGCCAGTGTAGTGCCTTCTATGCAGCCTGGGAGTTCACAAGGTAGGGCAGAACCTCAGTCTTCCTAAGGATCCCAATTCTCTGCTGCCTCCATTCTCTCTGACCATTTCTATCCCTTTCTTAAWTTTTTTTATCTGTTAGGTGGCTTGGAAGACACTTGCATGATTGTCTGCATTTATTTTTAAGTGGAGCCAGTTGCAAGATCAAAAGGTGAATTACAGTGATTTTATTGAACAAACAACACTTGCTTAGAGATGTTTTTTCCCATGAGAGCCAAGTAAGGACTTGTTAGAAATGCCATGACTRAAAAATAGCTGTGTTAGAAGAGCTGGGCTCAGCTGCATGTGGAGGTTTCAAGGTTTACTGTGAAAGAGTCACACAGTATTTATCCATTCATGGCTTTACTGGACTTGTTTAGGTTTTATTTTTTGGTAGCTCTGGAAAAATGTTTTAGTAGCCAAAAAATCTGTACTTAATTAGACACACAAAACCAGCAGACAGGAAGTCTATTTCCTCACAGAGATACTGTGGTTTATACATTCTGCCCTAATATGAACAAGTCTACTATTATTTTCTGATGTTCCCCCTTGTTTAAGGTGCTCTGACTAACATGAAAACTCTATTTTTGTACACCAATCATGAAAGATACTTTCAGGTTCCAGACATGCTAGACATGGCAGTATTGCATGGTTCCTAATTCCAGTTGAAAAAAAAAAAAAACAACTCCTGTCAGATTTTATTTTACAGAATTTCATATCATTTAAGAGTATTTAAATGTAACTGTGGATATGTGTGCAGGCTTGGGGCAAAATCTGATAATGACTCTGCACCAGTGCTCCCACCCTAAATTTCTTCAGTGTTACAAGTGGTGGTTTTATTTCCTTGTTACTTGGGGTTAGTCCAAATATCCAGCGATTGGAAGTTGTTTGGGACAAGGGCTCTGTGTTTGTGAAGTGTGTCTCATAGAAAGGGCCATCGGAAAACTGCTGTAACATAATAAGCAATGAAAAATATTAATATATGCAGCCAAAAAAGAAGGTGAGGTCTTACTAGGGATGTTGATTATCCTCAATTAAATTTAGAAGTTGTGTGGGAAAAGTAAAGTTTTTACCCAAAGAAAATGTTTTACTTTAACTTAAAACTCKGAGTAAGTGTCAGAAAAATCTATGAATTCCACTACTGCTTTTCATATTATACAAAAAAAAGATTCAGATCTGAAGTGATCCACCAACATCCACCCCTTCAAAGCAACGGAGGAAACTATTGTTGTTTAGAAACCAGCAGTATTCCTTAAATATTAATTGCAAACTAAGGTATGTGGCATGACTTACATGGTAGGACAGCTATAAATAAACTATTCTCACAGTGTTATTTGTCCTTGCTGGTTTTTTGGAGGGAAGGTGGTTTTTTGTTGTTTTTTTTGTTTGTATTTTTTTGTTTTGATGTTGTTTGTTGGAGTTTTTTCCCCCATTTGAGTTTGTTTTCCTTGGGATAATTATTAGAATATAATTTCTTATGTATTTAAATATTACAACTTGTTTATCATTTAAGTCCTTTTTTTGTGAACCCACAGACTTCCCACTCTACTGTAAAGGTTTCTTGCATTCAACATTTGCTCTACTTTTCCTCCTCCCTCTATCCTGGATTTTGCCTCTGTTTCCATTGTTTTGATATCATCTTCCTCCCACAGAGTGAGTAGTATATTCCATGATCACCATTAAGACATAACAAGGATTAAAAAAACCCTTGAAGGTGATGCCCATGGTGACTCTGTTGGAACAGRAACTTTAGAAAATCTGTTCAACACCAGGAGATGTGGAAACAAAGGGAAGTCTCTTAGTAAGATCTGACCCCACTCCATCAGTATTGTAAACATATCTGAACTAGAGCTGGAGTTAAAAATTAAAACAAAATGAGATAACCAGTAAGATTAGAAGAAATAGTGAAGCAGATACAGCCTTGTGTCTTGTTTCACCTTACACCTGCCTGAGGTGGCCAAGGTGAGATCTCCACCAGACACAGGGTAGGAAGGCTGTGCTTGTAGAAGAGTTCAGGTCTCTCAGTGGTTCTATTCAAACCCTTTTGGGCTAGGTGCCAAAAGCTCTCAGAGACGCTCCTTTTTCTTCTTCCTCTTAATAATTTCTCCAGGTAGGAAAGAATTCATGAAGCCCATTTACCAAGCAGCATTCCTGTCCATGTGTAATGGTAACTGATGACTCCAGAAGAGAGCTAAGCTCCTGCTTATTGATGGTGAGACCTCTCTGCAAGGCTTGCAATGTTTGGGCTGTGTAATCCCCTCTCTTCATATGTTTTTTAAATCCAGCATGTCTGAGGAGACTTTCAGCATTACAAAAGTATTTAAGTTTACTTGACATCTCCAATATTCACCATCTCTCTTTTTCCACAAAAAAAATTCCTAATGCTTATTGATGGCATATGAAAATATAATCACTACCCTGCCTGACCAGACAAGATCCCCCAKAGCTCTTTTATCATAACTAAGGGAAAGATGGGGGCAAGATGGAAATTTTAACCATGTTGTTTTGGACAACGGAGGAAAAAAATATAGCTGTCAAAACACCAGTAGGCTCTACAKTCCTTAACTTCATCAAGACAGCACAGAAGAGGGATGTTTTTCTCCAAAAAGAAGTGTGCTCTGAAGTAGTCCCTCTGGATTATTTTGTGATTTAGTGCACTCCAGGCTGCTCTGAGAGACCTACCTCTGTGTATGTCTAAATTCTAGTGCATTCTTTGCTACAGGCGAGATAGGTGACGTGAAAAAAACAGACCCAGTGGTAACATTATTGGAAAGCAGATTCCTGTTCAAACAGGCTCGAGATTAGTGAGATAGATTTCCAGTGACTAGACTCAGCCCTGGCTTTTGTCTTCCTGCAGCRTGAAATAGAAGACAGATAGTTTGATAGAGCAAAGTCTGGCAAACATAAATGGCAATGATGGAGCAAAGGAGTCATAACATTCTCCTGACAAAGCCGGGATGTCTGAATAGTGAAACACAGAGGGAAGATCATTAAGGGACTGCCAGGCTCCCCACAGGCTGCCTGCGGCACCCACAGTGCCCTCCCAAAGGCATCACAACAACACCAGGTCAACTCTTCTTTTTCTCCCCACAAAATTCTCTGAAATGCAGTTTGCCCTCTCTAACAGAGGGATGTTGCATTTTCATCTCTTTTGTTGTGCTGGGCTGTGTGAACATCACTTGCTTCCCTGTATTTTTCAAAGCGTAAGGCACGTTACTCATTGAGACTTCTTTTTAAGGCTAAAGCTTTTGGTAGTAATTTCCACATTTCAGAGTTCTCTTGGGAAATCTAAACCCATCTTTTAATGAAAAGGCAATTATCTCTCTTTRCAATTGGAAAAAATAATAATTGCAGGCTCTCTCTGATTGTGCTTCAAAAATTAATATCACAATTGTGTAGTATCTTTTTTAAATAAGCACAAGWTTGCTTCTTACCAATTAAATAAAATATTCAGTAATTGCAGGAATGTAGACAGCACAATTGTCTTTCCTAAGGATATCTTCAGGCACAGAGGTAAAGCCCTAAAAGATTCACAGCACTTGTTCACTCTTTTACAAAGTTAAGTTGCACAACTTTTACCACTAGAAGTGAAATGGATCTAAAATTTATAAATGTATTTTCTGTAGAAAACAAAATGTGCATCTAATRTTGGATAGACTTCCCAAACAGCATAGGAAGAGACAATCATCCAATAGCTCAACATCCTTTTCCAGTGGCAAAAAAAAAAGAAAAAAAAAAAATCAATACACTTGGAACATCTTTACTTGATCCTCAAATGGCACATTTAGTAACCTCTGTCTCTTGTTGGTAAACATTTGTAACGTGAGCAGGAGGATATTTCCCTACCCAAGTTATTTATATGAGCCTAAGGAACATCCTGTGCCACAGATTGGACTGAGCCAGGGCTAATATGGATTTAAAAATGTATTTCTTCCTAGGCCTATGGTAGCTATTTTCATTGTAAAACTGGCAAATTCTGATACCATGTGGCAACTATTTTAAAACATTCAAATAGCAAAAGAGACAAACATGGAGAATATTCCTTTTAGGCTCACTAGCAAGCTGGGTCTTCCTCATCAAGTGCCCCTTTACAGATATAAATRAACACAATTGCTTGCTATTAAGCAGAAGCACAGAATAGCAGAAGCTGTTGTCTTTTTATGTGGAACCTCTGAGTTYAAATATGAATCCTGCATGTAAGACCTACACCAAATGATGTTGCTTCTCCGAATATTGATCACATCACACCTTAAGAAGGCTGCARATGGACCCATAACTACCAACATCCTCCAATACCTTGAATGTTCTATGATTTCAGGGAAATAAAACTCCCGCCCCCTCAAATTTATTTATATTTTAACATAAACCTCTGAGTTGCTACATCTGGAGTCAGGTAACATAAATGAATCAATTCATGTACTTAAAGCTGAGCATCTGCAGAAACATCTATAGCCCCAAAGTCTAAGGTGTGAGGTGTTTTCTTTTACGTGGCTTAGTTACCCCAAATTTTAGAGAGACATTCTGTGCACAAAAGGGACCAAGCTACCTAATTTCCACTGAATCAAAGTGCTGGGATGCCTTTAAAAATGGGAAACTTCCTGGTGCCCTTTCATTAACACTGAGCGGGGCATGGTTCCCCCAGGTTGTCAGCATCAYGGTTATCAAACACAGCCTAGGGATGTCATGTGTTTCTCTTCAGCACTTCAGAAGAGAGAGAAAAAGGACTGACACCTTCATGCATCTTGATCCTAATATTAACCTCTGCAAACACATCTCTACTGGAAGAGTTCTCTTACATTATTACAATTGTTCAGTATTGAAGGGTTTGGTAGTTTAGGTTTAGGAAAGAACTTAAGCAAGTACACATTTCCCAGTTTTCTTGGGCATGTAGTTTTGAAATTTTAGGGGGGAAAAAACAAGTAGTAGTATTTCCACACAGATCAGCATGATTTGCTCCCCTGAGGGTTTTCAGTGTGTATCAACATTTCTGCTTCTAATGCTTGATGAAAACAGGAAGCATGGATGCTTGCAAAAACAGGGATCAACAARAGAAATATGGAAATTAATTGCTCAGCACTGGTAAGTGAGTTGGGGCTGTGCTCRAACCTCATGACAACTGGTCAATACYTAAATTCCAAGYGTAACATTCATATGGTTCTTGGGATTTTTTTCCACTGGAGTAACAACAGCAGTGCATCCAAGCAGCAGTTKTAAACTTTGATGCCATTATTAAGAGAAAGTTCTTGACTTCAATAAAAATCAAGCAGCTTTGTGTAAGGTATTCCTAAGAATCCCATTGATTTCATGACAGGTTTATAATTTGGCCTTAGCCTGCAGTCCCCAACATGGCTTCTCTTCAGACATGCATCTTGGACTTCACAAATGCTTTCAATAAGGTAAGAGGCCAGCTAACCTGTGAAAAGAAAACTCTGCTCATAAAATAAAATTAAAACATAATTTGAAAGAGATTTAAGTATATGCRAGTTGCAACACACTGCCTTAGGCACACAAAATGTGTATGCTTACAACAAGAGATAACTTAAACTGATGTTCAACTTGCCAGTTTATTGTGATTGTGATATTCTGACTTGTATTAAAGAGTCTTGACTGATGACCTCTCTAATTCGTTTGGTGCAAACATTTTCTTTCAACATCAGACACTAATTTTTTTTCTTTTAACCAATACTTATTTGAGAGAGAGATCTATTGTAGCCTGTGCAGACAATCCAGCTTTTTAATTATGTTAAAGGTTTTTGGAATCTGCTAGACAATGCCTGAAAGCATTTGGTGATTTGATTCATCGATTAACCTGGAAACATGCTTCTTTCCCAGGCTTRCTTCTAAAGAGTTTTTGGCTCTTCTTTCAAACAGAATTTGCCAAAAAGCAATTACTAGTGAGAGGCAGAAAAACTTGCCTTATGGATTTAAAATCACTTTCTCCTTTAATTTACCAGGAATCTGAACATGCTGCCTTCTGCTTCTTATCAGTTAAATATATACAGTGACACCATAAAAAGCAACTGTGAATTCTRCAATTCTAGTTCATTAGAAGTCGTCATGTGGGGAGCATCTATAAAAGAAAATGGTGCCAAGCCAACATCTAAAGCTGTTCATCAGCTYTGGATTTAATAACTACTTTATTTATATCTCACATGCTAGGAAAAATATTGTAATTGGGATGGRTTATATAAAACATGAAGAATGGAATAATTGATGGAATAATTAAAAAAAYTCACTGGTATGCTTTGCTTCTAAGATATTTGCTTGATATTGGTTAGTTCAGTAGCAACAATGGAATACCATTAGTGTCCAATTCCTTTTGCTTTTCTAGGTGACATCAGTGCTCAGGAGAGAGCTTTTTAATGTAGGACAATGCTGGAAGAGATTTCTTTCTGTCTCTTTGCAGGTGACAAGGGGCCTGCCCAGCTTGGTGCAGGTTTTTGTTGCTGAGTGCCCACCCAGCAGCAGGGCARCTCCAAACACAAGCACTTCAGCCCCTAAAACCCTCAGAGAGTGTCTGTGCAGCAAAGCAGGATAGGAGGGTGATGTCCTGCCTTCCTTTCATCCWGTCTGGGCTTTGCAGGTTAAGGAGAAGCGGTGTCCCTGACTGTCAGTGAGCCATCTCCTGCCAGYGCTAATCAGCCCTGGAACAAAGGGAAATGCACAGTGTGTTAAGACTTGCACAGGTATCTGATGCAATCTGAAAGGGAGACAGACCTGCTGCAATACCCAACATGTCCAAATGCACGTCCCACAACCCATATTCTTACTCTGGGGAGCTGCTGATTGAAGTGGCTGTTCACCTCTACACCTCTACACCTCTACACCTCCAGGTCATAATCTAGCAAGTGAAGGACTCTAATCGGACATATTTAATATACACACTTCTTACTTAAGGACATCAAGAACATTGAGTGGTGTTCCAGCAAAAGGGGACTTGTCCTGAAGTTTAAAGGTTGAACTTCAGCAGTGTGGGAAGAAGCTCTGCACCATCAGGATCCTTTGTCTTGCAGAAGTGCTCATTCAGGCTTTCAGCACAAACAAGAACCATGTCTTCATTCTGAGTATCAGCTGAGAAGGGCAAAAGTTTTTTTTTTATAAACTAAAATAAAACTAATCAAAATATATTACACAATGTTAATGGTTTTCTTGTTTGTTTTTTTCCCATTATTTTAAAGAGGAGAATGAATATAGCAGATCAAAATAAGCAACTACAGAAAAAGCCCACCACCACAAAAAAAAACCCAAACCCAAACCCCACATGGTGAGATTAATGGCTATGCAATGAAACACTTAATACATTCACTGACCCCTTATTAATATGCTTTTCAAAAAACTACATTTTGTAATGTACCTATCTGAAATCAGCTCTTCACTTTTTGTTGTAGGCAGAGTATTAAAAAAAAAAAAAACAACAAATTAGGTATTTGATCCTGGAGAAAAAAAAGCAGAGAAAGTAGTGTGTGTGCACATTACAATTATATTATCAAGGCTTTCTGTAATGTTATTATAGGCTGTTCCAAGTTACCATGTATGAAAACAAACCACACTGATTCCAAGCCCCAAAATGAGAGAAGTTAGGGAAATATAATCAGTGCAGCTGTGGCAACAATACTATTGTTAAAGTACAGGGAGATTTTATAAACAGTGAGTAAGAAGTCAAGAAGGAAATAGTTGTAGACAAAATCATTGCTAGAAAACATGAAAGCAACTCTTTTTTTCCCATCCCATCCCATCCCCTCTCCACCCTGTGAAAAGATTATCCATGGAAGGGGAAAAAAGGGTGAGGTTGTGGGTGGTGTCCCACAGAAGGGCAAAACACACAAAAAGTATGTGTACTTTTTTCTCTTGGAAGAAGATGAGGGGAAAAAAACGAGCCTGGAATTTCTTTTGGAACAGATACTGTACTTTCAGGTGCCATCTGTGGACTATGAAAAAAAGTCTGTGTTAAAACAAGAATAAAAGAGATAAAGGACAATGCATCATTGCCTGCACGACAGGGTTGTTCCCAAGCTGCTTTGGAACAGCCCAGCTATGAGCACTGGTGGCACTTCAGCTTCTCTGCCAGAGATGCACAACACAGGGCAGCAAATATTTCAACAAGCACTAATTTATCTTGCCTCCTACTGACAAAACTACAGATGCCTTAGCAAAGAAAAACAAATGCCACTGAGTAAACAGCTGTGCTTTGCAGTGGTTTCCATCCACTTTGCTTTGGCACCGTGTGAAGAACCTCAGTGGCATTGCTGCTGCTTTRCATCACTGCAGAAGAACCACTCAAAGCCTGATCCTCTGACAAATCACATTTCCAAAGAAATTGATGGTGAAACTCCCCTTAGCATCAGAGACCAGTCTTTAACTCCCATGTTTTTAACTGCTTTCATGAGAATTTAGTGGTGTGATAAATGAAACCAAAGAGATTAAACTTGACTAGTGTATTATCCAAATACACATTATAYAAAAGACAACTTTCTATCTGTAGGAAAATTAGCTTAATATGAACTTCAAATATCTGAAATGTGAGACCAGTGTTTCCTGATATCACCAGAGTTACAGGTATATGGAAGGAGCTTCCCAGTCTAGCTAATTTTCACCTTCCAGTTTTTAAGAGTTTTGATCATATACTCACTTTAAAGCAGTTTTAGGTTGTAAATGGGAGTATAGCAGTGCTGCTGTTCTTCTCTGCCAAGATAAAAGGTTTTCACCATTTCTTTTGAAGTTTAGAGTCTATKAAGCAGCAATATAACATTCACGTTTTGGAGAAACAGGATTCTTGTGAACTGGCAGAGAGCATAGCCKGACTTCCTGGTAATTATTTCCATGATATTAAGTTATTCCCTTTTGAGGTTTGCTTTGAATATATGTATTTGGTAGAGCTAAAAGAAAAGGCAAGGTTACTGAGCACATGTGCATACTGATGAGTGACAATGAAATTTTAAAATAGCTGTGACTGTTTCTTCAGATCACTTTGATATGATGCAGATGATTCCATACCAGACCTTTGAGGAGAGATGCACAATTTCAATTCAATACTGGAAACTGAAAGGTTTAATGAAACGCAATACTGTAAACACCAGGAATTCTCCTTAAAGATTACTGTATCTCTTGGCAAAAAAGATGATACCATCATTCCTATCTCACATCTCATCTTTTGCAGAACGAGGTTACTTCCCCTTCCCCCCACCACCAGTTTAAAAGTTCCAATAAAATAATTTCTGACTGCATTTTCTCTGCAGTACCTTCAGCATGTTCTTGGTCTTCTCCCTGCCAAAAACACTTCCTGTCCCCCAGACATGGAGAGCTGGCAGTGAAGAGGTTAGGTCAGCTGTACAAGGTTTCCATGGAAGCAGTTAAATCTTCCTGGCAGTGGGAAAGGAGACACTGTGGGATGTGATGGGATTCACTTCACACAGAGTTTTGACCTCATCCAGTCTCCAAAAGTGCTCCTTGACCTCCAGCCCAGCATCTCCACTCCTGCTACTGCCCAGAACATAGAGTTCCCAGACAGACCAGGTGTGCAGCGAGAGCTCTGTGCCTGCCTTTGGTACCGGAAATTGTTTGGGATGCAGTGGAATCCCAGAGCAACAATTAATGCTACTAATTTTTTTGACAAGAATCTAAATGGCATAGAGCCAGTCATAGCATCAACACAGTTGCTGCCAACTACTAAAAACAAGCAAGTCAACCATAATTTACTAGCATTCCTGACTCTTTTTCTGAATTAGATTTGTGCTTTTTGAGCATTTTTAGAGAACATTTGAAAGAATTCAGCTGGATGAAGAACAAGAATTGTTTCACTGACATAATTCATTGGGATTTTTAAAGCACTTTTGACAATGTACCTCACAAGAGGCTAGTAAGGAAGCTGAGAGGTTGTATGGTGGGAGTTGTAGTTGTATGTTGATCACAAGCTGGCTGGAAGAGAACAGAATGGAATAAAAAGCTCAGTTTTCAATATGGCAGTGGTTAACAGCAGAGCACTGGGACTAACAGAATTTCACTGCATTCACAACTGTCCTGGAAAAGGCCTTAATCAGCGTGGTGGCACCATTTGCCACGGAACTGTTTTTTTTTTTTTTTTTAACAAGGAACAATTATTTAACTGAGCAGTTATTTAAGTTAGTCAAGACAAACCTAGACAATTAGGCAGCACAATGGCAGAGGAAGTTCATGATGGAAAATTCAAAATAAGGTGTGTTGGAAGGATATTACTAACACACATTGTTGAAGTTTGAATTAACAGTAACCACCCAAGAAAATGACCTGTGTGTCACCTCGGAGAGCTTAATAAAAACATCTGCTTAATGTGGGAAGGCAATCAAAAGCAAATTAAATGTTACCACGAATAGAGAAAGGGGTGGGGTCCCACAAAACCTGCTCTGGCCAAGACTGGCCAGGATGTGCAGTAAATGGGGACACATTCTCACTGCTGTGCAATTTCGGGGATGAGCTGGCTGCTCCCCTGGAGGAAAACCTTGTGCACCTCTGACATCTGCCCCCAGCTCTCTCCAAAAGGCCTTCCTGTGGCGGGAGACCAGATGTTCCCAGGCTTTTTGCTTTTGGGAAGAAGCTGAGTTCATAAAGCAAGCCCATTGAAATGCAGTCATGTAACAACATACAGGATCTCAGAACAGATGAATAACACGACATTCAGTTCAAAATAATAACAGAAAAATCAAGTAAGCAGAGTTATTCAATGCAGTTGTGTTGAAAATTGGTCTAAACACAAAGGCTAATGCTCCCAATTACAGACAAAGACCTCTTTTGTTTCAATTCCATAATTTAATAGTCTCTAGGCTCAAGAGCTGTGAATACTTACTATGTTGTGATGAAGGAAGATGTCCACCACAGGGCAGCAGGGCTTATGAATTTCTTAAAGCCTAAATTAAAAACATCCATCACCCACAATAACCAATTAATCACCAGGTTTTGTCTCTGGGAGTTCTTTGCACCTCCTTATAAGCATAATCCCATAATGGCAAAACATTCCATTGCCTCGAACTTACACTCTATTATTCTGCATGCAAAATCTTATTTTCTTTGCAGTAAAGGTGGGGACTAGAAGGAGAAGGACTGATAAAACCAGTCCTGCTCAAAATTACAGCRTGAGGCAGAAATCAAACTTTGATTGTATCTAGTTGAGAATGCATTTTTACTCCACAGCATCCTAAGTGTTCTGTAAATGTCTGAAAACAGAAAAGCCAAAATAGTATTGGCTGTAGTAAAACAAGAAAGCTGCTGATCAAAATGTATTGGGGGGGG